TTTTTGTTAAGTTTCTATGTTGGATTTTAACAGTCAGCAACCCACAACCAAACGCTCTCTGACATCTCAGTGGCAAGGCGATGATTTTAATCCTAAAAGCCAAGCGATTTCAATTTCCCTGTAATATCTTGATGATTTCTTTCATAGATTTAAAAATGCTTAAACCAGGTGCAACATTGACCGTAATTTCAATATATGTGACACACAAAAGGAAAAATTTCTCAAATCAATTATATGCAAGACACAGAGAATGCTTCTATTCAGTGGAAATATTTTCTCTCACTAGAAGCTATCTGCAAATCTCTTTACTGATAAAATACCAAAAACTCCAAAGAACCAACATTGTATTTTTGCTCTCCATCCCCATTGAACAGGACTACTGAAAACACATGGAGTATGTCTCCCCATGGCGTCTTACCACATAACCAGTCTGCGCCCTTTACCCCCATCTTACTGTTGCTAAGAATTATTGCTACTGACTAAAGAGTTATTTTTGGCCTCTCAATGCAGCAATTCAAAAACTTCTACTCATCTTAACATCCTGAATTTATATACTATATATGTTACATGTTGGGTAGGAAAGGTGATATGATGAAGTAACCTTAATTTTTTTTATAGGGGTTTGTTTTTTATTTTTTTTCCCAATTACAGTTGACATTCAATATTGTTTTATATTAACTTCAGGTGTACATCATAATGGTTAGACAATTGTATAATTAATGAAGTGGTCCCACCCCTGCCCAAATAAGTCTATTACCCACCTAGCACTACACATAGTTATTACAATATTGTTGATTATATTCCTTATGCTGTACTTCACATTCCTGTGACTATTTTGTAACTGCCATTTTGTATTTCTTAATTCTTTCACCTTTTTCATCCAATCCCCTCACTCCCTTCCATCTGGTGACCATCAGTTTTTTCTCTGGATCTCTGAGTCTGTTTCTGTTTTGTTTGTTTATTCTGTTCTTTAGAGTCCACACATAAGTGAAATCATATGGTATTTGTCTTTCTCTGTCTGACTTACTTCACTCAGCATAATACCCTCTAGCTCTATCCATGTTTTTGCAAATGGTAAGATTTTACTCTTTTTTTTATGGCTGAGTAATATTCTGTTGTATATATGTTCCACATCTTCTTTATTATTTAATACATATTTGGGGGGTGGCAATTTCCACTTTACTTCTTCATCTCTATCATTTATCATATTCTGAGAATTGGTGGCTTCCCCACATAATTTCATTCAAAACCTCAAAACAAGTAGTTCTTGATCTTTTGTTTTCATTTTAAAATTTGATAACAGTGATAGAGTCTCCTTCATGAAGCACACGCACGTACACACGTGCATGTGTACACACACACACACACACACATACACACAAATACACATTCCATGTTATGGCATAAAACTTTAGATTTAACAGACCCAGTGAAGCCCATCCATGGACTTCTAATTTAGCAATCTCAAAGGTTGCCATGCTATTTATTTATTTATTTATTTAGAAATAAAATGTATATAATATAGACATGGACTTTTAAAAGACAGACCAGTATTTTCTTAATTTATTTTGGTGATGCAAGACCAGTAAAGGTTTAGAACAAACGAAGTCGTTTACTATCTGAGAACAACCACAGCATTATAAATTTCAGGAATCCGCTTTTTAATTTACTCACCCTGCAGGATCTTTTTGCTTTAGGGGTTAAATGTGAAACTATAAACAGTCATTAAAGCACAAAACAACCACAGTAGTTAACCGGATATTAAGAAAAAAATATCACATCTGTTTTTGAGTTCTCTTCCATCCGCAAATTCAGGAACATCAATTTCAAGAACCTGGTTTTATGGCATGCCCTTCAGCCAAGAACACCAGGTTACAATCAAGGCAAGGAAGGTAAGACGTCCCATAAGCTGACTCTCACTACAATATCTTGCCCCTAAGGATGGTCTTTCTTTAATTCAAAAGCAGTCAGTAGAATTAGATTTTCTATTGCTTTGAAAGAAAAACAGCCATGACTATTTGCACATTAATAATTATGTTATTCTGATTAATTGGATCGGCTTATTATGAAAAGGGGACGAAAAGGAATACATTTTCATGCTGTTTATCTGGGGATACTTTAAGTAATAATGAGATGGTGGCTTTTCATTATACACAGAATTTGAGGCTTGCAGAGAATCTGATTTTTCTAATTTAAATCATTTTTTAAAGCTCCAACTTGTCTGAGGGTATACACCTTAAATAACCAATTTGTAGTAACTTAGCCAGCCAGAAAACAAGTGCAACTTTTCAAAAACACATATCTCCGGGCATCAAAGAAAACTCTTCCCTCTGTAGTAAGTCTAATGAAGTGCAACTAAAAATAACAGTCATCAACTGTGGTTTTAAAGGCAATATTTCAACATAATCAAATGTGTCAAATATTCATCCTTACAGCTTCTTACGCTGTGAGTTATAAGTAAGTTTCATTTCTTGGGAATGATTGAACATAACCCACTTGGGGCTCTGCCATCTGTGAATTACTTACATGTGAACACTCTGTTTAAGAGATGGAAATTTTTATTGTTTTTTTTTCCTTGGATATTGAAATGAAATGCAATTGAAGAGAGCTTTTTAAGTGATTATTTTTCATATTAGCTGCTACGTGGCTACATTATCACACACTCCCCATATTCATCATCACTTATCAAATCATGGGAATCAAGTATGGTACAGATGAAGTGGCGGAGGAAACATCAAGTAGAATTATGGAATCTGAGATCTGGAAGAGAATCTGCAGTCTCCCATTCTGTGCTCCCTGGGCTCAGGTCCTTGCCACAAAGAACCATCACTGCAGTGTGCTCCGACGTAAGAATTGTGGTTATGTTCTCAAGGCTTCCTTGAAAGGCTGCTCCTCTTATCACTGAGCAAACAGTAAAAGTGACTATAGGGCTATATGTAGGGTGCCACATAATTTATCATCCACACATGGACACCTCTGAGAGTTAGTGGGGACACTATTAATAATTATGGCAGAACAACAGGCATGGACTAAGACTGCCCCAGGCAAATCTAATCATACTGTTACCCCAGAGATGATGTGTGACTCAAAGAACTTCTCCCTACGGTCCCAAACCATTTCATTAGGGCAATATCCAATTTGAGTTCTGTCTAGAGCTGCTCTGTCCAATAGACACAATCACAGAAGTAATTTTAAATTTTCTAGTAGAATCGTCTTTTAAAAAAAAAGTAAAAACGAATGGTGAAAATAATTTTAATAATATATTTTATTCAACCCCGTATACCAAACATAGTATCATTTAATATGTAGTTAATATGTAGTTAATATGTAGTTTAATATGTAGTAAAATTATTCATGAGATATTTCACCTACCTTTTTTTTCATATTTCAATCTTTGAATTCCAGTGTACATATTACACTTAGAATACATTGTTGGTGCTCAGTAGCACATGGAGCCAAAGGTTATGATATTGGACAATGCAGTTCTAAATAGTCCCCAAGTTTGGATATGCAGGGATAAATAAATAGTTATAACACACACACACACACACAATACCATACATTGGTTCTGTTTATACTAAGCATTACAGTAGAACACATACACATGATTTTTATCAAAGCAATTTTCCATTAAATATGTTTCCTTGAAGGATGGAGAGTGAGAAATATAATATTACATCTAAAATACTTGCAGGACATTTGCTTCCTCTTTTACAGAAAAAGGAAGCCAAAATATTGCCACAAACCCATTAGTAAATACCCAATGATATGAGATAGTGTCTCCTACCTCATATGCATTGGCACTGGTTCTTGATAAGAATATGTTATACCAAACTGGTAAAATCCATTTAGCTCATTCAGCAACCTTACACGCCTATAAAACATAGCTTTTTTCTCAAGGCACTCTAGACAGACAAAATGGGGAAGAACCTTCTTTTAGGAGACTTTTTTTTTTTTTTAGCTGAGCCATCCTGCTACCTGTTGGCAGCTCAGCGGCTGCTCAGCTCGGGCTGGACTCAAACTGCTGTTGCTCAGAGCTCAAACTCTTGAGCAAGCTCTTAACCAACTGAGCCACTCGCCTGGCCCTAGGAGACTTTTTAATGGTTACATTATTGAAGATCACCTATTGCAAAGATATATAATCATTAACCCAAATCGAACTCTCAGGCCGTTTCAAAGGATGAACCACAATTACAACTCTGCAGAGCAACTCAGGATTCAGCAGAAAGATCCCACAGTTCCATATGGAAGGACGCTGTTTCCTTAGGAAACTCTTCTCCATTCAACCTATCAGTTATAAGTAGGCAATTATAAGTATATCTGCTTATAAGCACTTTTTGTATGTAATCTTATTTTTATTTCATGTCTATGTTGAGTTCTAGAAACCCAATCCTGGCATCACATATCCATGCTGTTGGTATCTTGAAGCTGTATTGCCATTCACCATGTTATGACTTCACTAAGCATCTCATTGACCCATGGACACATATAAATCTATGTAAAATATATAGATTATATCCTCGGGCATGATGAAGCAGGAGGATGAAAGGATTCAGCAGTACACCGAGCACTGGTTAAGGGCGCCGGCTCTGGAGGCAAACCATCTGGATTAAATTCTTGGCTCTGCCCCTTACCAGTTGTGACCTCAGACAAACGACTGAAACTTCCTCTGCCTCAATTTCATTATCAGTAAACTGGAGACCAAAACGTGTTCTTCCTTTGATGTGGAACTGTAGTAAAGCACTGAAAACAGTGCTAGACACATCATCAGTGCTATAAAAATAAAAGCTATCATTATAACTATATACTAGTAATAGCTCATACTAGCTATTATTATACTATAACTAATATATATATATATATATATATATATATATATATATATATATCCTATCGAAAGATCTCTAATCATCAACTTACTTAAGACTGCAAAGTCCCAGTTAGGCTATGGGTAAGGCACTTTGATCTTTCATTAGAAATGCGAACGGCAGCATACGTACTGGAATAACAGGTTTCAGGCTCTGCCCACTGGGGTGTGAAGCGCTTGGCTGGGCATCAGCAGGTGGGCCTGGCGCTGGGTCACTGCTTCTCCTCACCAGTAGTGGAGTGCCTGTCGGACAAAATAAGAGGTGAGAGGTCAAGAGAACCCTGGGGGGAAGAGAGTGCATGGTACAATGCAATTTAATTAAAAAGGTTTACAATGTGCTTTTATGTGAAAACATTCTATTTCTCAAGGATGCTTGTAAATTAATCCATTTAATGATCTTTTGTCATCCATTTATAGAATGACACATGGAAACAAAATCTTTCAACTCTCATCTTTCTCCACTTGCATTTCAAAACAAGTCATTTTACTTAACAAAAAACTGTTAGGTAATGACAATGTTGACAGTGCGTGATCTAGAAAACATATTTGAGTATTAAAAAGAATGATTATTTGGCAGACAAGTGAAGAGGTTCACACAGTCGGTGCAATTTGCTATTCAATAGCACTGCAAGTATAGCTATGGCTGCCATTTGACGCTTCCCAAGTCTTTGAATGATGATATATACTAAAATAAACTATTTGCTGGGGTTATAGCTTTAATGTCTATTTAAGTACCCAAAGAGGTTGGCTCTATTCTCTTGTCTCCTAAAGTAGATAAAACTGATAAGAAAAATAAGTTAGCTCTTCTAAAAATATATCCTGATTTCTTTTTAATTTAATGAAAGCTCCCACTATTAAATATTTGAGTCAGTTATTAAATTCTGAAAAAAAGATCATACTATTAGAAAGTTCAAATGAAATTCAGCCTTAGCAGAGCTAGTGGCCTAACTACGGTGCCTGCAATTAGGCCTAAAATAATTTGTTTCCTACAAAATTGGCCACTCTAGAGGAAAAACTCTTAAAAAAATCTGTTTGTGGTTTAAAAACTGGTCTCATATCAAAGTTAACTTTTTATTTGTGTGCTTTTGGGTTAAAAAAAGTGGAAAACAGTAGAACTGCAATTCCCTATTAATCAATATTCTAAAATGAACTCCCCAACTCTCTCAAGCTGTTGCAGTCTGAAAGAACGTTTTCCATACCTCATTTTACATGGTGCCGTTACAAAGAGTAAATCCATTTGAAGTTATTTACAAATCTGATTTTTCTATGTGTTGCAACATTCTTATTCTGCGTACAAAACAGAACTGCTCATTCTTTCATCCTTGTTTAGACAGAAGCTGCTGGGTTTTATTAAAATTATTTTATGAGAAAAAATTAACATGCTATCTACAGGATGAAACACTGTGTCAAAGGTATTATAAATCCCAAGTTCACATTCGATTATTTTTTATTAATAGATATTTTACTACATTATTCCCTTCCTTCATTTCCATCTAAAAAGATTTCTCAAGCAAGTGACATAGCAATAGTTGTATTGTTGGCAACTGTTCTCGAATGCAACATTTAAAAACAAGAAGAGTAGAAGCAATACAAAGTACCACAAATTCTTAAGACCATAGAGTCTGTGTCCTACACCACTATTTTTTCCCTCCTTCCAGTGATCTAAGACTGTTTCTCAGGCGAAACCCCTGAATTACCATGCACATGAAGTAAATAAGTGAGTCGTAATGTGATATCCTCAGAAGCAATTGACTGTCTTTAAAATTAAAAAGAGAATGGAGCAAACTCCATGAATTCAGGTTTGTTTCCTAGCATTTAACACAGACAGGTACACTGTATGTCAATAATCTCAAATTGGAGAAAAACAAATAAATGAAACAAAACAAACAAACAAAAAAAGCAAGTAAAACCAGCATGGTACACCAAGGTCAAAAATAAATTGATGTAGAGGCACAGAAACATAAATTCGAGTGCATGACAATTGTAGTTACATTGTTTTTCAGATGAGTCATACACATACATACACACAAACACAGAATATGTGTGTGTGTGTGTGTGTGTGTGCATGTGTAAAGAGACCTGTTATTTTTCTTGGGTAACCAATATATTTTTCTTAAAGAATCCATGCTAGATAGTTTTCCTTCAACTTTAAGGACATGATTATTAGTCCTCACTTACTGTCAATATCTGCTGTTTTAATAACAAAGTGTTCAATTATTTAAGACATAGTTTTATAACAACATGTATTTAGGTCTCTACAGTCAAATCAACATGCCATAGTATCATAGTGCATCTCCCAGAAGAAGACAGTTCAGTTTTGCACCAGTGTACCAACTATGTGAAACATTGACAAAAGACAATCTGTAAGACGGTCTGATCTTTCTTAAACATACTCTCAGCTCCTCAGGAATAAGTTTTGTTCTCCACTTTTTCTGTATTCCATACTCCAGTGTCGCCTGTTGATCACCTTCTAATTTTTCTTTGGCTGTCTTCATGTGTTAATAACACGTACAAGTCATTTCATACCAGAATTAATAATGAGCATCTTTAAATATGAACTGCTGTATCAGAGAGTTTTAAACAACCCTTCCTTTGGCAATTGGAAATGTATTTAAAATTTATTTTTTAAATTGCCACAACCCCATTTGAAGGTCACTGTCAGGAACAGACTGAGTTTCTAATTTAAAGACAAACTTAAAGACAAAAAAAGATAGGCCCTAGGACATAACAGGAGGCAAGTAGTTAGCAGCACTGAAGCTGATTTGGGCAAATCCTTGGATGTGTGTAATAGAGTAAAAGGCACACCTCACAAGCAAGCCTCACTCAAAGGATAGGGCGACAGCTAACTGGTTTTATGGAACCTTCCAGGGGATGGGAGAAGTAAACAAAATAACCTCTGCACTGAAGGAGCTCATAACCTAACAGGGAGACCAGACCACTAGCACTCGGAGCTGTCATTGTGGTACAGTGGAGAGAACCAGGGGTCTGGGGTCAAACAGACTGAGCTTCGCCTCTCCTGGCTCTGTGACACTGAACTGCTCAATGCCACAGTCTTATCATATAAACCTGGTGATAACAGCACACCACAGAATTGATGGGGGACTGAAATAAGGCATGCATGGGACATGGCGCCATCTGGTATACAATTCCCACACAGGAAATCTCTCTCCTTCCAATAAAAAGGCGGCACCAGCACTTGCTACTGTGAGCAGTGTTATCTCATCTGCTCAAAAAGCTGAACTTCTAAAAGTCAAGTCAATTTTCACAGAATAATAATGTAAATTAAAATAGTAGAACACAATTCTGTGCTTAACCAGGTATAGCCTTACTATAGAAATCAAAGCTTTTAAGGAAACAAAAAAGAAATAATGGTGTGGGAAGGGAGTTCAAAAATGGAAAACAAAACAGGCTATTCATTGATATTTTTCAGCTAATTGAGAAAAGACTTTTATTATTAGATTTCAGAAGCAAAAACCCTCAGTTCAGCTCAAGAGAATAGCGGTATTCCTTGGAGTCATAGTTTAAAAGCAACTGGCTGTAAAGCCCAAGCACAATAAGAAATATGCATTTTAAAACAAAGTCTTATACAAACAACTGCATTAAAATTTTCCACACAGTTAAATATTTGAGGCCTCATGATATATCAGGAATTACACAAGGGGTGAATGATATTAAGATGAGTCATCATGGTGCTTACTCTAGGTTATCTTTTAAAGAAGATGTGGGGACACAGAACATTTTAGTACACAGGAAGATAGGTACCTGTGCAGTGTCCCCGGGGCGGTACGTATGGATTAAGGAATCCATACCAATGAACACACACACTTTAGAGTGAATCAAGTCTCATTTACTTATCTGGATGCACAGAAACTTAATGGAAGCCAAAGAGATTGCTGCAGAGGAGCAGTGTCCCTCTAAGCAGAAGAGTTCCTGATCAGGTGTGGAGCTACTGGTGACTGTTCTTGCAAAATAGGGTCTTGCCACATCAGGAAAGCCAAGTTCTTTCTGCAGCACTGCCCATGTATATTTGGGGCTTATGTGGCACTCAGGAGAAACGTACTCACATTCTCACTGTTTTTCCCTCAGGTTTTCACAGGCCTGGAGCCAACTAGCCCTGGACTCAGTTCCCAGGTACCTACAAATGATGGGCCATCTTCCAGTTCTCCAACAATCATTTTAATGATAGTAAAACTAGAATTAACAGGGGTACAGTAATTTGTCCAGTATCCCCTATACGTGTAACTATGGCAGCCCAGAGGATGGTCACATAATCTATTTGGGGGAAAATAATTTCAAAAGAGGCAGCAACTAGCTATAAGGCTCAAATTGGTATATCAATGAATCTCTAAAATATAAAGACCAGAGCAAATTGAAGTTATCTATGTAGATATAAATTTTTGTCTCTTTGATACAAAAATTCTCTCTCTCTCTTCTCTCTTCTCTCTTCTCTCTTTCTCTCTCTCTCTCTCTCTCTCTCTCTCTCTCTCTCTATCACACACACACACACACACACACACACACACACAAACCCTGGATGGGTTATTTCTACATCTAGAGGATGTGCTTGGGATAGAGTTGGCTTAAATGACAGGTGATATATTATACATAAAATTCAGTTTTGGGGGTTTTGCAAGATGTCTCAGAAAGATAGGCAGTTATAGAGATTGAACTCAAAGTCCAGAAGAATTATCCATATGATGGTGTAGTGGGTGGCGAAGACAACACAATGGCTTTAAACATGACTCCCATATCAAACGTCAGAAAGGCACTTGTTCTAAGTTGTATGGTGAGTAAGAACAGGATTTACTTAAAGATGGTTGATGATTATCTTGAGCAAAATCAGAAGGCCATTTTGTCATCAGTGTTGGTGCTATTTCATTCCAGGGTGACTGACTGATACCTGGAGAGCTCTAGTTAACCTGCTGACAAAGCCTTCTGTAAGCAGCAGGAGGCCTCAAGCACAGAAAAGCAACCGGAAGGGGATGAGGGGGGACCCAGCAGTCACAGTCAGGAACGCAATAATAAGCTAGGGAAGGATGTGGGAGAATTTAGCAACGGCCATACATACAAAGCAAACAAGAAGGGGCATAAAACAAAAATGTAAAACCATTCTTATATTTTTTGCTTGAGGAAAGGTGAGTAATAAATCAGTTTTAGCAACTGTTACGGTTTCTTTCAGAAAAAAACAAACAAAACACTAACACTTGCTTTTAATCTACGATGCTTTGATACATATGAGAAAT